GACCAGGCTGGTCTCAAACTCACAGAGATCCTCTTGCCTCTGCCTCCCGAGTGCTAGGATTAAAGGCATGTGCCACTGATGCTTGGCCTATTGTAACTATTTTACAGATAAATAATATTTCTTGAGGTTTTCAAAAATTTTTAATGTAAAAATCATCAGTAACCTGAAAGAGGATTGAAATAAGTAAATAAATTCACTCCAGTACATGACAGGAGACTCGGCAACACAGGGAATGCTTAGCGAGATGGACAAGACAATTAGCAATCTGCATGAAGAATTTGGCAGCATGGAAGAGAAAACCAGCCAGCAATGTTTGTGTGCCTATTTGGGAGACTGTACCATCCAGTTCCTGTCTGAGAGCGCTAGGTTGTTGAGGCATCCACACCAGTTCTCTGCAGCACTGTGTGTAGAGTCATGGGGCTGTGTGTCTATTAGCGGGTTCACTGGCCTCGGATGTGCACTCTACCCACAGCTGCATGGAACAAGGTGACATCTCATGGCTGTCTTACCTGCTGTGGCACTGAACCTGAGAGACCACTGAGAGTGATACACCTTCCCTTATTGTGCCCAAATAGATGACTCAAGGGAGAGGGGATGAAGCTTAGGTGTTGGCTTTTTTGTGGTCTGACTGGTCGACACAAGACTGTAGGAGCCTATTGCAAGTCTGAAGGACAGAATTTTGAATAATGTGGCTGTGTATATTTTCACCTTATGTAATAGAATTGTATATTAGATGTCTAACTGGTAACATAAATGGCATTTCACTAAGTGTAATTAGCATAGAAGAATATAACATGATCTCCAAACCTCCAAACCATTGCCCTATGTAGAACCACTGCTTGGTTTTGTGTTCCTACAATGTGTTCTGTAACTTGGATGAAAAACCTTCCTACAATTTTTTTTTTAAAAACCTCATTGTTTAGTTTTGCTATAAGTTGCTACTGCAGTTTTGTATTCTTGGGGACAGAGATACCATGCAAGTATATCATGTCCCTCTAGTGTGCATCTAGGCTATAAAATCATTGCCAAATAAAGTTTCCCAAACCAAAGGCCACAGCATGATGGTTTCATGGGTGCTTATTCAGCACAAAACAATGGCCTCAGATGCTGACAACACAGAATACTATAAAAACTGCCATGCAGTGTAAATTTAAACAATTGCATTTAAGGTGCGTTTGCGCTATTTTACTCAGAAGTCTAATACCACAGGGGAATTCTTGCAAAATGAGCTCACATAAAAGGTATTTTAATATTTCTTTTTCAGAAATTATTAAAGTAACTAAACAAAGATAGTTTTTTAAAAAGAAAATTTGCAAGAATTATAAGTGTTATAAGAAAAACCATAATGCTTTTCCAGGAAGCATAAATAAAATCCAAGTTTTAAAATATTAATATACATTGATTTTAGTATGCATTGAAATATGCCTCAATATTTATCTTAAGTTGTTCAGATTAGTGATTAACTGTGTGATGGCATGTTTTTTCCTTTTCAGACAGTTACATATTAACAATATATCTTTGTGTTCTCTTATACTTTGATGATACTCTTTATTCCTTGTTTTAATCTTATCTTTCATTTGTAGGTGTCTCAAATCCTATATTCTCAAACTAAATTCTACAAAATTAAATGAAAACATACAAAATTATATGTATGACTATGTCTAAAATATATTAGTAACTCTCTTTTAATAAATACCAAATTTTTGGGGATATCCCAATACAAAACTTACTTTATACCTATACCTACGAAGTAAGCATTAACTAGTATATTAATAATCTGTTTTCCAAAGATAATAAAATGTTCAATGTTTAATAATATGGTCAAATCCCAAAATTTTTAGGACAGCCTTACTGAGCTATAACAAAGATGCAATGGAAGTTGCTATTTTGCAGGATAGGATTCAGGGATTTTTAGTGTATTGACAGAAACGCACCCTCACGATTACAGTCTTATTTGACAGAATTTTCATCACTCCCTCTACAAAAACAACAAAACAAACAATTAGCAGCCTCCTCCCTTAATTTCCCCTTCTCCCTGGATACCAAGGCAATTAGAAATCTATTATTTGTATAGGTTAATTATTCTTGAGAATTTCTTGTTTTAAGGGTTTTTAAAGATTCATTCGGTTTAAGCTTAATCATGTATGAGAAGTGTTAACTTTTAATGTCAAATAATATTACTTTGATAAGTAAATTGTATTAGTTAATGGGCATTTGAGCTGTCTTTCAGTTTCCTAGTTGTTGTGAACAGTGTGATAAGCATTCATATGCATATTGTTGGAAGATTTGTGTAGGGGAAGCTGTAGCCACGCCTATAGTTAGGGTATGACATAAGCAGATTGTTGTATCTTCTTATATTTTACTTTTATGATTGTTAATTTTGGATACTTTAAACTGTTAAGTTTTAATCCTCTTTTA